AAACATGCGTATTAGTATATTCATAGCGTAGTTATCGACCCAAGTCTGAAAGATGCGCGGGAACGTCATTAAGGGAAACGGGGGGGGGGGTGAATTTTCCGCTTGATTTAAACATATTTTATTGAACACAATCAATGGGATTGGACACAAGTTATTCCAACTTAGATTGTCCTCTCCAACACAAACAAAAATAACAAGAATATATACACGTGATGTACAAGCAAACAAAAAAAATACAATAATATAAAAAAGAGGAAGAAGAAGAAAAGTGGTGCAGAGAGATAAGAAAGGAAGGGAATGGGAGTGCATGGAAGAAGAAATAAAGGGGGGATTATAAAGGATACAAAATGGTTACGCTGGTTATTCATAAAATCTTTTTGATTAACTTATTTAAATGCCATACCTGTGTTCCATAATATTTTATCTGTTCAGTAGAATTTACTTGGCGGGTTTTAAATCCCGTGCTATTAAGTGGTCAGTTTGGGTGTAGCAATTGAGTAGAGCGGACGCACTTCACTTGCTCTAGTATTCACAACTTAGTAGTATTCTTCATAAAGTATTTTGACCAGCCTTTACATCTCTTCTGAGGTAAGTTTGTTTTATTAATTTAAAGGTTTTATTATCTTATACAGTTTCCTGAAATGGCCAAGGACCTTAGTTCTAAACTTTATTGTAAATTACACGATTGAGTAATGTGTGCATTGCTATCATTTCAAGTACTAGTAGTATTCTTATAGTATACGAGTGTATTATAGTCTTATTATAGTATGAAGTAACTACAATGTATGGTGTGAAGTAGGTGTTTATTATACACAAATATTTCGTATAAATATTTTAGGGAGTTTTGCAGTAAAATGCTTTAGTATATGCAGTGAAATGCAGTATGCAGTAAAATGCTTTAGTATGTGCAGTAAAATGCAGTATGCAGTAAAATGCAAAGTATATATTGTATGTTATGATATGCATTAGCCCGAATCAAGTTAGTATTTACAATTGTTATAATATGTGAATTTACAATGATTTTGTAGATCCCAAATTGGTCCAGGAAGCCATTCCTCCCGAACAACATTCCGATCCAGAACTTTTAATTATGTATTAACCAAATAAATGTGATATATTTAAAGAACTTAGTCGTTATATTCCTTTTTGTGTGACGACCTATCGGCCGCGACATTTTGTGTCAGAAGTGGGATACGCCCAGGATGATCCACCCAAGGCGATCTGCCCAGGGATCAACCTAGGGAGATCCAGGAATTTTGTTCCAGGGATCCATAGACTATCACCATTAATACAGATCCCAGGATTCCAGTGAGAGTGTGTTGTATCGATGATGTAGATTCAACAACTTGTCTTATTGCGGAACTTATCAACAGGAGAAGTCCACGTGACAATCCATGGATACAGATCCGTTTATACAGGTCTGGACGATTTCTAAATAAGGAAGTCAAGAACGATAACCGTGAATTGCTATTAATACACAGAATAAACAAGGCGCTAATCCTTCTGACCAATCAGATAACAGCATTTAGACAAACCCACGAGAGAATAAATAAAACACGTGGTTTTTAAGTTTTTTGCTCAAAAGATTTTTTTAGAACAAACTTTTTGTAAACTTTATGCGCATTCGGGAATAATATAATATTTATGACAATTCTACCGTGAACAAACACGACTTGAAAGCTTGGAATACGTTTTCAGTGGGATAAAAAGAATCTGTCTATAGGAGTTAGCAATCCCAAAAGTTTACTAACTTTAAAAAAATTGATATAAATACGGTAAATTTTCAGTTTTTAGGGCCTGACATAAAAATTTTATCGAAAAGATAACAGTCTTTATTATTTTTGAGTGTTTATTACATAATACTAGTATAGTCCATGCAGTTTCTGATATGTGAGGTAAGATACCGGTATTGGGATAATTAAAACGCATTTATATATAATTACAGGATTCTCTTTTCTCCGCGTTAAACGCCTTTCCTTATGCCCATTTAAAGTCTGCATAGCCATAAGTATTCGGCGCTCATGAAACCCGTGATAATGCAAAACTATATGTGTATACTCCATACGATAAACACTTGTGTGAGTTGATCTAAACACATGGAATTTAAGCATTATCGATGAAAATAGGACGGCTAAGCAAAATTATATTTACCATTATATAATATATTCTGGTAAATGTTATAATGAAACTTGATAAAAACTTGCTGGTGCGATCTATACCTCTGTAAACGATTACATTCTATCGTGCATTATTTTTTTTCTTTACCGAGATAAAAATGTCAAGGTTGTTCGCGGTAAAAATGTGGGGAATACCCTATTCTTCAAAAGCTTTCCTCTTACTTCTACAGATTTTTTATTAAAAAAATCTTTTTGAGGAAAAAAACAAAAGCACGTGTTATCTTTTTGTTCTTTTAAAATATGTTTTGGGGTGTGTAAAAATGCTGTTGTCTGATTGGACAGAAAAATAATTACGTGTACATGATGTACATTTATAGCAACTTTCAGTTATCATTCTTGACTTCCATATTTAGAAATCGTCCAGACCTGTTATAGGATAGGGCAAACAGGATACAGACAGAAAAAAAAATTATAACTGACTAAATCAGGAATTCTTGAAGTGTTAAATCATAAGTAAAACTGAATAACTGAAACTCTATTTATCTGAAACAGATTGTATTTTCAGAAGTATTTATTCTGTTTAAAGTAAACTGCATTTTATTTATCATCTTTTTGAACAGATGATCATTCGTGCTTTTCCATGTTGCATAGTATCAATTGTTTCATTGTGATTGCTGTAATTGTAGGACAAGATCATTGGCTATTTTGGATCCAGAAGTCTTCCTTAAAAGCTGATTGCCAAGCTACTTCAGAGTGTGTTGTGGAGACTGGTCATGGTAATGTAGTAAATCAGTTAAATTTATTAAAAATTGTGTCACCCAAACTCAACACATCAGTATTGTGTATAGTAGTAGTAGTATGTCAAACATGTTTACAGAGAAGTGAGTTAGTAAATACACTTTGTTGTGTACATTTGACATTTTTGTTAAGAATGGAGACTTTAGAGGAGTTGATTTCTGCTGGAGAAAGACTAGGCTATAAAGACGGTAGTTTACGCAAATATGTGAGCGATCAACAAGCTTTGCAGCGTGAAGAAAAAGCGGCAGTTCGTCAAAAGGAGAAAGATGAACGTGAGTACCAACTACAATTGGAACGTATGTACAATGACCTAAAGCTGAAACAGATGGCTGATGAACAGGAGATGGAAATGGCAACGAAGGGTAACATATCAGTGAATGAGGTGAGTATTAACTCAGTCAAACCAAGTACCCCTAAAATTCCATCATTTGAAGAGAACAGAGATGAGATGGATAGTTATCTGCGAAGATTTGAAAGGTATGCAACAGCTATGAAATGGGAAAAATCTCTTTGGTCAACTCTTTTGAGTGCTTTACTTTAAGGTCGTGCTTTAGAGGTTTATGCTTTAATGTCAAAGTCAAAAGCAGATGATTATGATGAGCTCAAAGCAGCGTTACTCCGGAGATATGATATGACGGAAGAAAGTTTCAAAAGAAAGTTTCGTTCTTGTCGTTCCGAAAATGGTGAAACATTTTCTCAGTTTACTGTCAGATTAGGTTCTTACCTTACTCGTTGGATAGAAATGTCTAAGATCTCTATGACTTTTGAAGCTCTCTTTGATCTTATACTTCGCGATCAGTTCTTACATGTGTGCAATTATGATTTGCTGGTGTTTCTTAAACAGAACGTCCCAAAGACGGCAGATGAATTATGCATTCTAGCAGACCAATTTAGAGAGGCGAGAAACACAAGCGCTTCAAATCTATGTTCGAAGGTTATGAAGAAACCTACGGAAGTACAAGTAAGTAAGACGCAAGTAAAACCTAAAGATCTACAGCAACGACCCCAAAACCAGAATTCTTCGTTCGTTCCAGTGACAGAGAGAAAATGTTCCATTTGTGGTAAGCAGGGTCATATAGCTCCACAGTGCCACAAATCTAAAGGTAATATTTAAGGTGCGCTAGTGCATAAAGATGAGCGCAGAGACGTTGACAAAACACCAGAGAATTGTTCTGCATTTGTTTGCAGTGAGAACTCGGTTCTGTACTCGCAGGTATGTGACAAATCAACTATTTTAACTTCAGCATGTCACAGCACTAGGAAACCAATGCCACTTTCGGCTGGATATGTAGATGGTCAACCAGTCACACTTCTTCGAGATTCTGGTTGTCAAAATATTGTGGTAAGGAGAAGCTTGGTGAAAGATGAAAGTTGTATGGGAATATGTTTTTAGAGAAGTATAATCTTAGATGTATTGTACCACAAAATATGACCATCAAATATACCTATGAATTTTTAAATACATCTTAACATCTTTATTACAATGAAACTTGTCTTATCCGACATGCACGAGGAAAAGATTACAAACATATTTGTCGGAATAAACAAGGTGTAGATTGCAGCTTGTAAAGATCATTGAGATAAGTATAAATGACAAATGAAATTAAATGACTGAAATCCCAGTTAAGAGTATTGCCTGTGTCGGATTAAAAAGGTTCCACTGTAATAGGTTTAACAATAAAGTAATCTTCATCCTAATTCTCCGTCCAGTTATCTCCATTTATCAGTGTTTGGAAAAAAGGAACGAAATATTTCTAATTTCAAATTTATTACAACACATATAAAGTACATCTTTTACTGAATACATTCAGTATCGCTTTACAGAGCAGTTCAACCCCCCTTCTTTTACTGTTTGTTACTTGATGTTAAATATTGAGAAAAAAAGAACTCAGCGATAAAAATTAATCTAAAATTGTCTCTTAATGGTTTCCATTATCCATGGATGATCTTTCGTCTGTTAAAAAAATGAAAACTTCACAGATACATGTATAATAGCATATTTATGTATTAAAAAAACAACTTTTATAACTGAGATTTTCACAGTAATACAAAAAAACTGTTTTACTAAGATTTAATGAGGTTTACCTAGTGACGTCTGATCATCATGCTGGTCCCCTTCACTGACGTCCCGTTCTTTACTGTGGGATACCACGGGTTGGACCAGGAAACCGAGGACCATGGACCGTTAAGGAAGGCTCGGCGGCAGCTGTTAAACCACCAGCCTCCTCTCCATGTAGCAGCACAGTTACCACTAGGCCACCCGTCGTTATCCCTGTCTGGGGTGGAGAAGTACATCCCAGTCAGATCAGCCCAGGAAGGACCAGTGTCTATCATGGAGTCTCCTGTAAAATCAAACAAAAAGAATCACAGAGATAATGGATTTATATTGTTTTTATCTAATTGTTAATTATGATACTGAAATATTTCTAAGAGTAAGATAGACCGTTTTAGGTGCTGTGAAGGGCAATAATATTTATTTAGTTCACTCCTAGAATCCCCGGTGTCTATCATACTGGCACCTGAAGAATAAGGGAAAATATAGAACAAAGATGATAAGTATTAATCATTAATTTTCATCCCATTAATCTTAATACTGAAGTACGTCTGAGATACACAGTTTAAAGAGAGATAAAGAATACAAGTCAACAAAACACTGCGCAAATCACATAGCATCATGTCTTGTGTAACAATAAACCACACGTCTGTTACACTTTTAAAGCATGGTAATATTGTGTGTGGGGGGGGTGTATTTAATGCATGGTAATATTGTGGGGGGCGGTGTACTTAAAGCATGGTAATATTGTGGGGAGGGTGTATTTAAAGCATGGTAATATTGTGGGGGGTATTTAAAGCATGGTTATACTGTGGGGGTGTATTTAAAGCATGGTAATATTGTTGGGGGGTGTATTTACAGCATAGAAATATTGTGGGTGGTGTATTCAAAGCATGGTAATATTGTGGGGGGTGTATTTAAAGCATGGTAATATTGTGGGGGAGGGTGTATTTAAAGCACGGATATATTGGGGGGGGGGTGTATTTAAAGCATGGTAATGTTGTGGGGAGGGATAAAGTTCACGAGAAATTGTAGAAAACATCACAAAATGAATTTTTAATATTTGTCCTAGACCGTGGAATACTAAGTAAATCATTAATAACGAGATAAGATGGTAGGTTTCCTATTAAATAAATGGAAATGTGAAACGGGTTTAGGTCTTTAAAATTTAGCTTTTAAGCTTTTTAAAATGAATATTTATCCGATCAAATTATTTTATCAATAAATTTTCGTAAACCTGTCGACATTTAAGATTAATGAGGCACTGTAAACTTCATATTCCGTAGTAGTAAAAAATGTGAATCATTGAAAATCAGACTATCATGCTCTGTAAAATTTTTCCGTATTAGTTAAAATATGAATTATCAAAAATTATCTGGAAACCCAAGCTAAATAACAATGTTGAATACCTGTAATTATTGGATTTTTTGTTTAAAAAAATTAACATAATTTCAATTGCACATAAAATGTATAAATAGAAATTTTATCTACTTGACAATAATAAATCCAATATCTTCTGAATTTGTGAATTGTACCTGCAAATGATATTTTGAAATATTAAACATGTTTAATTAGCATGGAATCAAAAACGTATGCAGAATATAAGAAAAAACACATCTTTTTCTTGTTTCAAGAACTTTATTATGTGTCAATACAGAAAAGAATAATTGTTAAGATTTAAGTAATACGTAATATACGTAATTTGAACATAATTTTAAGAACTTACGTGTTACATAACTACATTTACCTAAGGTCCCCGTGGCAGGTCCTGCAAGAGAGAGTTGATATTTCCCTGCCTCGTTGGAGACAAAGAATTGGTCATACATTTCATACAGTGTTGTGCCATTCTGGATAGTGATGGACACATAAAGGGATAAGGTGTTGTCTTTTGTTAATTTATGGATTACCTCATTTCCTGTATTAAGATACATTTTAAATCAATTTAAAAGTTCATCGAATATAATTAATTCTTTTAAAATTATGAATCTACCGTAATGAAAAATCAAATTTCCATAACTGTAGACAATATTGCTACATATGGTCTCATTAGAATATGCCGCTTGATGTTAGTCTTCTTTTCTATTTTTAAAAGCATTATTTGAGATAACAATTGAACACCATATCTGAATATCGTAGAACACACATTATCTAATCTTAAATTAAGATACGCTTGATAATATTTTATCTACCATAAGATTTTTTTTTATCTTCAAACTTTGAAGAAATAAAAAGTTCTTATTTGAAAGCGATTTACACTTACCAACCCAGAAATTTCGTTCAGGTGAACCAAAACCATTCTTATAATCCGCCCAGTTCCTGTGAAAGTTCACGGATCCGTCTACGCGTTTCTGAATGACCTTTGAAAATTAAAATGCATTACAATTCAATTTATTGCTTCGAACATTCATAGGATCCAAAGGTTTGATATAAACTACAAAACAATCCTACAATCCTTAAAACAACAAAAACAATGTGAGTTCTATTATGTATTTTCAATCTTAAAATAAACTACATACCGTCCATCCCCCGCCCATTGTCGTCATATCGCAGTATACACTGATTGGATTGGTTGATGTACTGTAGGGGTATACATCATACACCCCTGTACTGGTGTGTCCTTCTTCACAAAGATCTTTACAATCTTTAGGCATGGCAGAAAAAACACAATCTAAAAAAATACCAGGATCATATTATGCATATGTACCAGAAGTGAGAGGATACATAATGCCTGCATTATATAAAAATGTTAATTGTGGAAACAAAAATGTAACATGTACAATGTGTATTACGTTAAACTGTTCCTCTTTATCTGATACCATTCTTGTTTTCCAATTGATGCAAATTTTCCATTTATGACTAAAAGTATTTAAAATTAAACACAATAGTTTTCAATACTCTGTTGACTGAAAGATATGTGAAAGAGGAATTGATTGTAGGTAAGATGATAAGCAATTTTGACACAAAAATAGATGTTGAAAATGTAGTAAAATTATAATATAGTTTTGATGTATGATATAATGTCTGACCGATCGACAGGGGATGATTTCTCCTCCATGGCACAGGATTCACATCTCAGCTTTCATAACAGCTGTTTTTAAGGTGGCAATTTCGAGATACGAGCTAAGTGAGCTTTTTTCGTTTATTTAGTTAATAACAAGCAATAATTTTTAAATGGTTTGGACTGATCATTGTAACAAAGCTTAAATTTATATTACTAAATACTCACGGTGTAGAAATTTTATCTCAAGTTTTCCATTACATGCTCAGAGATATTAAGAAAAGCGAAAATAGAGAAAATCACAAAATATAATTCAATCAATCTCAAATTAAAAAAAAATAATTCAAAATAAAAAAAAATCAAAAAAAGAAAATAACAAAAAGATATGAATTTCATTAGAATTAATTATGTTGAAAATACAATTATTTATGCTACATAAAAAGAAGCGTCAAAAGAAAAAAAATCGTGTCTCTTCGAGAGGAGCCTTATACAAAGAAGCAAACAGAAAAAAAATAACAAGTGTACATACCGTTATGAGAGTAGTATCTCCAACCGGCCTCATCAGACAGCTCAGACGTGAATAGTTTCTTGTGGGTACGACATTTCTTCATTTGACTGTTGAATCCAAAGAAAACGCACTCCCTTTGACACATCGCAGCGCACTCGGTCATTGAATGAGCATTTTTTTCGCCTATAAGTTCATGATTTGATTTTTTATCATTAAATACAAGTTCTGTGGTATATTTCTGGGAAATAATGGTCGCTTCAGATAAAGCCAAGACCCCAACAATTAAGGAGATAACACACTGACTGCTCATTTTTTTTCTAAAGAAAAGACTGCTGCGTTCTTGTAAATCTGTGAAATTCTGCCAATTGTACCTGCAACAGCCAGATATATATATGTCGTACCTTAATCAATGCCTGAACCCCATTGGAAAACTGTGATGTACTCTATATCTTACAGTTGCTTAAGAATCGATTTTATTGAAGTTAGTATGAATTGTCATATATCTTTATTTTGAAATTGTTATTTAAACTATAACAATGAAAAGTTCGCTGTTTTTTCACTTAGTTAATGCCTGTTATGTGTGATGTTACATGGTGTTTTTTTTTTAATTTATTGCTTTCTTTAAAATATGGAATTATGATTTAAATATATATATTTTATCCTGAATGAAAAAAAAAATCAGCTATTTCGAAATAATAATAATAAAAAAAATTCTGATGAAATTATTATGGTTCTCAGAAATTATTAGGAATATATTGATTTTTTAAACTTTGACACATTAGTCTCCAAATGTTAATGTCACACAATACATCATAATTGCATTATTTATTTTTTAATTAATTTCTTCGGACAACAACGTAGACAGCACCGAACAAAATTTCGAGGAACGTATGCAGCACCTAGTACATCTTAGGAAGGCGAAGTTAGCACCGGACACATCTTAGAAGGATGTAGACAGCAACGTGCACATCTGAGAAGGACGTAGATAGCACAAAGCCCATTGTAGAAGGATGAAGACAACACCCAGCACATCTGAGAAGAACTTAAACAGCACTGAGAACATCTTATAGGAATGAAGGCAACGGTGAGCACATATAAGAAAGGGAATAGACTGCACCAAACACATTTGGTGCGGGACGTAGACTGCACCGAGCATCTTCGAAGAAGGTAGACATCACAGAGCACATCTAAGAGGAATGAATGCAGCACCGGGCAAATCTTAGAAGAAGCTAGACAGCACATAGCACATCTAAGAGGAATGTAGACAGCACCGAGCACATCTTATAAGAATGTATACAGCACAGAGCACATCTAAAAGGAATGTAAACAGCACCGAGCACATTAAGGAAGGATGTAAACAGCACCAAGCACATCTTAGAAGGACGTAGACAGCACCAAGCACATCTTAGAAGGACTTAGTCAACAACGAGCACATCTTAAAGGAGCTGCATTGTTTTAGTGTTTAGGCAATGCAACTGTTAGCAAAAGAACAGTTAGAAAAACAACTGCATTTGACCAGAAGCTATAAAAATCCACTCGGGAACTATCATAACCCATCAGCAAAGGGCATAGAAAAATCTTACTTATCAATATACATAAATTATATCTAAAGTAGGTGAAATAACATTAAAATAAGTAATAAATTACTTGTAAGATATATTTAACTGCCTTGTTACACAAGTACATTGTAACGATATGACCTTATTGTTACACAAGTACATTGTAACGATATGACCTAATTGTTACACAAGTACCACTGGATGAAAAATACAGTTTCCGCATTGCTGAAACAACTGAAACTCTGCGGAAACTTAAGCTTACTAATAGTTTCTGCAAAGTTTCAGTGCGGAGACTTCAAACTTCATCAACACAAAAATATTGCTTCATTGTTTCTCTTTATCGTACGCATGCGCTGAAAAATTGAGGAATTATCCATGCATGTTTCATAGATACAAATAAAGGACCCGTGACCTTGACTAAAAACTTCGCGATAGAAACATTTGTTTTTCAGTAACTTAAATTTGCACCTCTATTCTTGCTTCACAATGTATTTATAACTTTCATAATTATATTTTACATAAATCTTTTGCTTTTCCTAAAAAGAAACACGTGATTTTGACTCACGTTTGCGCAATATTCGTCATATGTATATTTATGTTCTTTATAAATGTATTATTTAAAAATATTTGATCACTTAATGGACCAAATTGTAAAGTAAAGTTTAATTACATTTCATAAAATATATACTCTAAGTACATGTGTATATAACTTTAAATCTATTTGTAAAAGTCTGGACAGTCCTTTCCAACAATTACCATAATCATAATAAGGGACCTAAAAGACGGTTTTATACCACCCTTCGATTCCATGATCAATTTTATTTTATCATTCAAAACTGTTCATTCTGTAATTGCCATGTGTGCAACGACGTTTGCAATATAAACTTAAAATAAATATTGCCAGGAGAGAAATGCAAAAACTAAGGTGAATTTTCCGTAAAGGCTGACATTCAATTACTAGGTGACGTATCGCAATATAACGCTTCTCTCTCATTGGTTAGATTTACAATAGAAGAAAGAAGGACAAAATGGCGAAGAAAACACTGAGAAAAGCAAACCAAACTACAGATTAAATACAGGTAGTTATTTCTTACAGTTCAGAGCACATTTATTTTTGTGTTTATTGTCTGAAATTGTAAGAATAAAGTTGGGCTAAAATGGCGCCTTCCAGAAATTGAAAATGACCATTGTACAGCTGTAATTAGAGAGGTTTAGTTACAAGTAACGTCACAAACGTGTACGTGTGACGTTGACGTACACGTAATATTTTAACGTCAACGTCATATTACGCTTTTGTTACACGTAAGGAACGTATGCCTATGAAAAATGGAAGATTCTTGGTAAGACGCTTTTAATTCAAATTTCTGATGAGAAAAATAGATTAAATGTATTGCTATATATATGCGAACAATATTTCATACAATTAATAATCTTCCTTTAGTTCTGAAATGTTTATGTGCGTTGTAAATTTAGTTGATATAATTTGTTGGAAAAACGAAGATGGGGGAGGGGGCTACCTTTTCTTGATTAGTTTTAAAGTATCTTTTAAGTATGAAAGCACATAAAAATCTCAACCCCCACCCTTCCCATAATGGGAATAAGAGTTTTTTTTTCCTGAATTCGTTTTTTATTACTTTGCCTATATAATATTACTAGCATATGATTTTATGAAGTGCCCACTTTTAAACTAGCGCTATTTGCCAGAAAAAAACTTCGTTTTTCTTATCAGCTCCTGTAATTTATAAGGTCTACAATGAAATAAATCAACTTTATATGAATAAATAAATTTTTTTGAGGAACGACACATTGATTTTGTTTGATCAAAAGTACATCAATGATGAAGAATTACTATTGTTTTGAACCCCTGAAAAACAGAAACGGAAACTTTATGTTAAGGGTCCTCGACTGAATTTTGAAGAACTGGACGAAATGGAGACCATTTCGCTTTTCAGGTGTGTTTATGATTTGCATGAAATTAACAGAAATAAATATTTCTGTCTATCAATAGAAATTGCTGTAGGAAGATTTTTTCCAGTCCTTAATTATTACCGATCTACAATAGCTCTTCTAAATTTTATATCTTGATTTCTTAATTTAGGGGGAAAAGATATTATTGTAGTAATAAAATCTAAGGAATTCTTTTTTAAGATTCGAAAAAATGATGTTCTCAGACTCAGGCAGGCTCTGAAGATTCCAGAGAAAGTAGTGTGTGAAAACACCACTATAGCAACCGGCTTAGAAAGCCTATGCATTACTTTAAGAAGACTTTCATGTCCAAATAGACTGGCATATAATATGGAATCTAGTTAAAATGAGATTTTCCATTCGTTCCAAGGGTATTGTTTCACAAAAACAGACTTTTTACATTTATGAGTCTTCTTCGTGCGAATAAACATTTGGGTAACAAATGGAAGATTTAATTTTAATAAGATTGACATAACATGCTGCAAATATTGGGAACCATGACATCAAGTTTTCAGGGCATGCTTTCTTGTAATTTTTTTATGCTGTAAACCCGCGGTTTACGAATTAGATTAACGTCTGTTAAACGAATAAAATGTGTTCATGAGAACGGATTATGTAGATATTAAATCAATTTAATTATAAAAATAACCAGTAACTATTGTACTATATAAAAAATTATCTATGTCGAACACTGAATAGTAAAAAAAGGCTTCCTAGTTAGTATGTGTTGTTAACAAATTAAATTATTGAAATGATATCCATTAAGGAATATAGGTACATGTATAAGGATTATAAATGCAAACCTTGGTATCTCAGATAATGTATCTGTATTTCATGCACCATGAAGACACATTATAATTTTCATTTTAAACAAATTAACATTAAACGTAATAGTAAACAGAGGAGCCCCCATATAACCCTTGATTTTTTCTAACACGGAAGTAATATTTTAATGATGTATGCTATGAAAAGAATCAATTCCCCAGGGGAGTCTCGAGTTGGGTAATGTAGAAAACCCTTATGAGAGGAATCGATTTTGTTTAAAATGATCTTTTTTTTTTTATTCCAGCACAATATGAAATAAACAATTTATTTAATGTGAAGCAAGGATCTTGTATATAGTGCTTGTCATTGATATCAAGATCAGTATGTGTAAGCTTACACAGAGCAGGCACATCTCAAAATCTGAATATGAACTATTAGATATTTAAAAATAAAATCATTTTTAAAAATGTATAGGTAACTAAAAATATATGAGTTGATTTTTCTACCCTTTAAAAAGATGAGAGAAAAGGTTTCAGTTCGGTTTTGAGCATGCAGAAACTATATGGAATGGAAATCAATAGTAAAAAGATCATATGAGTTGATTTTTCTACCCTTCTGAAAAAAAAAATAAATAATAGAAAAAGTTTCAGTTTGGTTTCAGCATGCAGAAACCATATGGAATCGATATCAATAGTTTCCGGAAACTGAAACCTACTGGAACTACTGTAACTTTTACATTGGTTTCCGTTTTACGGAAATTTTTTGGAAAAAAACATAATAGTTTCAGTATACGGAAACCTTAAAGAAACTTGCTGAAACTTTAATAGCGAGCGCAGCGAGCGTCGCGAAGCGACGC